TCCTCCCTCCCTCCCTCCCCTCCCTCGCCTCCTCCTCCCTCTCTCTCCCTCTCTCTCTCTCTCTCTCTTCTCTTCTCTTCTCTCTCTCTCTCTCTCTCTCTCTCTCTCTCTCTCTCTCTCTCTCTCTCTCTCCTCTCTCTCTCTCTCTCTCTCTCTCTCTCTCTCTCATATGAGAAAGTTCAGTATATATTTGTGCTGTTATATTGAGAATTTGGTTGAAAGCAGAATTATTTTTTTAACCTTTATTATTACAACCATTACTTAGACAAAGCTTTCTTCTTTCAGGGAATTCCCGGTGCCGTGCCTGCTGGTGGGGCTGGCATGAGCTCTGTTGATGCTGACGGTCTTGGAAATGATGTGAGTGTTTTTTTGTTTTTGTTATTATTATTTGCATCTGTGTGGGTGTGTCGGCTAGCATGTGTTTGTGGGTGTGTGGATGGGGATATGGGATGTGTGTGTTGGTAGTAGCTGTGTGGATGTGTGTGTACAGGTACACAGAAAACTATCGTCAGGAGTGGAGTCAAAACCTTCAATAACAAACAGAACCTTATGTTAAGTAAGAGTTGGTATTCTGGGTTTGTCTCATTCTGATTCATGTCTGGAATAGTCATTCCAGAATTCATGTGTATTCACTGTGAGATTCTGATTTTATTCTGGTAAGGGATGGAATATGCCTTGCAATATTCAGATAAGCCACACACCCAAAAATAGTTAGAAAATCAAGGATACCAACAGTTTTGTAGCATTATCATTGCATGTGTCAGAATGTTTAGGATGATTTCTTAATGATATTTTTCTGTGTAGCTGTACATGGGCATGCTGGGCGGGCTTAGTATAGTCATAATGGTTTTAACATGAATTATCATCAAAATATGTCATCTCTTGGGAAAAATTATTTATTAACTTTCCTCCTTTTCAGCAAACTATGGAGCAGCTTTGGGCCATGAAGGCAATGGAACATGCAGAGATCCACTTCAATGTAAGTATCTCTTGAAGGAAAATTAAAGTTCTCTTTTGAAATGGCTTCCTTAAAAATCCAGTTAAGTCTCATCCAGGTGTTTTTTCTTTATCATATATATTATTGGGAAATATTCCCCAACTATGATATTGAAAGTAAATATAATAATTATTATGATCCTCATTTTTTCCTCATATTAATTTTCTTCAGTGTTGTCATCATCATCATCATCAATCTTCATATCCTCATATTGTCATCATCAATGATTATCAGATAAATATTCTTCTATTTCTTGTTGGCCACAAGATTCACAGGCTGAGGTCTCGAGAGCCATCAATCTTTACCCAGAGTTCTGAAGTGGATCACACTAAACCTACTGATTATTTCCTTGCAGCTTCTGTGCGCAGTTGACCCACGGTTGCTAAAACTCACCCCAAAGGACGACCTTATTTACAACACCTTTAGAAAACAGTTTCCCGATTTCAACATTGAGAAGTTGGTGGAGAAGGATCTTAAAGACAAGGAGGCAAAGGAGGTAAGGAGGATTTTTAGGAGGCATTCAGCCGATGTGAAGACCAATAAGAATACCTATATATATTTGTCTTGTATATATTTGTCTTGTCTTTCTTCTCTCTCTCTTTTCTTTTTCTTTTAGTAAGGAGATATTTAAGATTTTTTTTTATACTAAGGAGATTCAGTGGGTGATTAAACAAATTGAAGTACAACCAGCTTATTTTTAATGAAATTATTTTGTATGTTTGTGGTGATTGGATGGATGTCTCAAAATGTCCAGATAACTCTTAGCTGAAACTCCTGAACAGTTGTAACCAAGACATGATGCCATAAACAAGGCTTGTGAGCGGACAAGACTCTGTGATCCCCCTTTGCAAGGTTACTTTGGGTAAACCTTATTAGCTTTTTTACCATTTTTCAATGTCCATATTTGTCTTTGAAGTTGCTTTATCCAGATGATTATAGATTATTTTCCTTGCACAGACTCCATATCATCTCTTTATGTAGTAAATATGTAACATTTGGTTATTTGTGTCATAAATCTCATTTTTTCATAATTTTCAATTTTCTGTAATACAACCTGTGCTGCTGGTCACAGCGGCAGGAATACGATGTTGAGCTTGGAAACGGCATCCTCACTGGAGCCAGCACTCTTCCAGTCACGGCTTATTAACATTATATTCAACACTCCTTTATTGATGGGAATAATGCAAAAGCTGCCTTCTTAATGCCAAATGAGTCTAAGCACACTCCAAGAGGTTTGTGTACTCGTGGTGAGTCTTTTCCGTCACTCCGGCCATTTTGTCTGATGACGGCATGTTCATGTAACCCAGCCCTCGATGCAGATTTTTCCATGATGGGGCAGTCACATCATCCAGATCATAGGGGTTAAGCATAGGGATTCCTTAACAAGGGAAAGCTGATTATTCAAAGTGAGAAAAATGATGAAGTTCCAGTAGCAAAATTAAACTGGGTCTGTTACTTTGTTTTCTTCTTTTCTGGCAAAGCTCCAGGCTCAGGAACCTTTTCCTTTTCAATTAATATGTGAAGCAGTGATAAAATATAAATAGAAATTTGACAGATCAAAGTTTTTTTCTTTCTTTTCTTTGTTCTAAGTTTTGATATTGTATAAGTTTTAGTCATGAAGAAAAACAACCCCCCTCTCTTTAAGATATAAATATTTTTTCTTAAAGGAGTGGGTAAGAGGAAGTCTATAATATGCTTGTAAAGCAAGAAAAAATTACAAGGAGAGATGGAGTGTTTATCTATGTGATACATTGTTGATGCTATAGCTCGTGCACAGATTTTTGAAAATGATTTTGAAATAATTTTCATTAAGTATTTAACCCCCCCCCCCCCCAAAAAAAAAAAATATATATATATATATATATATATATATATTATATATATTATAAAAATTCATATATGTCTCTTTCAGAAATGGAGACCCTTTTGCAAGGAATTTGAGCACGAGATCGAGGACTACAGCTTTGCAACCCTCGTTCGCATTGATTCCCAGCAAGATTACTCGGAGGATAATACCATCCTTGTGACTCGCATCCAGTTCTTCGCCATCGAAATCGGCCGCAACAGGGAGGGCTACAATGACTCCATCAGGACCAAGTACAAGCCCAAACCCCGTGCCAAGAAGGTTCAGAAATAGCAGTGGGACGTTGGCCATAGTTTTGTCAGTTCGTAACTTTAAATTTTGCGCAGGAACCTCGGTTTTTTGGTTCAGCAATATATTTCCTTAATACCATAAACTATGTTAGTTTGCATCCTTTTCTTGTTTGGATCTTTTAAGTCTCATCTATGTGGTTGATTACTGCTGTGTCAAGAGACGTTATGTACAATGTTATCATTATCACCCTGGTGTATCTGTGTAACAACTTGTGACAACATCTGAAAGTATAGGAGTGTATTGGTGTAAACAACGCTTTTTAAATGTTGTAATAGTACCGGTAGTAAAATAATTATATTTTACTGATGTGCATGAATGGTCTGATTTGTATTGTGATTAACAAAAGAAAATAACCAGTTGAGATGTTCCCTCCAGTGTTGCTTCTTAAGAGGAAGTATCTAATGGTTTATACAATGAAGTATGCTATGATGATATATATTTCGAGGTTCATTGTTTGTTGACAACTTCAATTTCAATTTGAAGTTGTCAATTTGAAGCAATGTGTATGTGTCAGCATTATTCCTGTTCAGATAATGACAACAAATTATTATTATTATTGGTATTGTTTTTAAAAATTTATTTACTATAATAATTTTTTTTCATTCATTTTTTTTTTTTTTTCCTCCTTGCTTTGAAAATAGTGAAACTTAGTTTTGAAGTGCTGCATTATAATTAATCCTGTGGTGACAGGGCCTAATTTATTTGTGATGTAATATTAAGCAACAGCCTAGACTTTGTGGCTAACCCTAAGCTGTGTTCAGCCGGCCCACCCACTGCGAGTCATGACATGTATAAACATCATAGGCTGCTTTGTCATGACGGTTATAGCTGTCACCATCACCAAGGGGTCAAGAAAGTGGGTCCACTATATAAACAGGTGAGGTGCTTGGAGACCTAAGTTGTCTTTTGTTGAAAATGTCCTGTAAAAAGAAAAAGAAAAAGAAAAAAAAAATGTGTACATCATGGATACACAACCAGTTTCAAAAAAATGTGTCATACTCTTTACTTCTCTGGGCACTTTGTAGTATTTTTGAATGGGGTTACAATATGACAGACACTCACAGAGGATTGTACAGTGTATTAATATTACTTGGAACTTTCATGTGGAAGCTGATAATCATATGGAATGACAAACCATATGTAAGATGTTCATCTTGAATAACTTTAGATTTTTTTTTTCTTAATCCAAACTTGTGTTCAGTAATTCATATGGAATATATTGATTTAATTTGAGAATTATTGTTATTCATACCTCTCAATATTTTTAATTATATGTACCAGTTTTATAGTACTTAGAGTTTCATAGCAAATACAGTCTTAAAGGTTAGTACTCATTACAGATCTCTTAATGTAATTGGAATAGAAAATGGAATAAGCAAAAAACAAGTAAGCTTTTTAAACATTTATATATTTGGAATGCATAAATATTAGGAATTTCATTCATTCTTAGGAATCTAATATAGTTTTCATAGTAAGTAGGTAACAGATTGATGAAATATACAACTTTTATCATAATGTTGCAAAGTGAAGACAAAAAATAACAAATTTAATAGATATCACAAAGCCTCTTCCAAGATAAATATTAAGGAAAAATAAAATCTGAATCTGTAAAAAGACTAAGATCTTGTTTTCCAAGTAACTTAGTCTTAAACTACTATTAAAAATAAATAACGACTTATTAAAATGTCTGAAATGAAAGGCTTGAACCTAATTTGTTTTTTACCCAGTATATATGTGTAACATGAATATTACTCTTATGTAGTACTGCTATTTAGCTCAATTTGGCCTATTAGTGTGCAAAGCTCTTATGATTAATTTGAAATTTAGCTATTTACTAGACAGGTGCAG